GGGTAAAGGTGGTCATGGAAAAATGAAATTCAAGGTGGGTAAAGTACACATGTTTGGCATGAGGTAGAGATCCCACCATTTGTTGGACAAAGTCGTGGATTAAACAATGTTGACTATAAATTTACTTTATTATATAAATTAAAAATTTATCTAATTTATACTTTTAAGGTATAAATTAATTAAATATTATTATATTTTTTTATTAATTCATATAAAAAATTATAATTTTTATTTTTATTTTTAATATTAATATCGTGATATTAACTTTGAATACTTCTAATTCTATCAGATGAGTTAATAATAAACTTTTCAAGATAAGATTTAAGTTTTTTTACTATATAAAAATTATACATGTGAGTTTAACATAAAATTTATATTTGATTTAAAATCAAATGACAATAAGTAAAATAACTTTTTTTATATTTAACTTATAAACTTATTTATTATTTATTTGATATCAAATTTTTCCACTCAATATATTTTTTTTACATATAAACTCATTATAAATGTTACTTTTTATAAGGTGAGTTAATAAAAAAATCAAAATTATAAAAGTGAAAGTAATATTGAACCCAAAAAGAGAAGAAAAAGGGGGAAAAGTGGTTTTATGACGGAATATGCCAAACTGAAATTGTCTAAATTTCATGAATCATGAGATTAAACTAGTAAAAAGGTGACTGTATAAAAGCAAAGAAAAAGGAAAAATTTATAAATAATAAGTGGTGATAATGATTGAAGGACCGGTACGTCCGGTGAACGGGGATCAACTGACCAGGTCCTATATTCCAGCGACCACCATCGGCTCGAGGCAAACCGGCGGCTAGTGGAGCCGACAAACACTCTAATTGGACGACAGCTCGACTGGGTCTACATTACGAGGACTACCACTCTGTCACTTTCTTACGTGGCGAACGTCTATTGGCCTCCACAATGAAGTCATCAGACGTGCGAAATGGTCACGTGTTCATCTGGGACCCACCACAAACAAATGTAGCACTCGCTTGGCTCCTGGCCGTTGGCTGTTTCAAGAACTGCACAAGAAAATAGCGATGGATTATTATTATTTTTTTTAAATTGTATTAAATTATAAAACAATAATTTAAAACACTTTTTGTTTGTATTGGTTTTATTTTTTTTATATTTTTTGTGATAAAAAAAAAAAGGTGTTTTTGATAAGATACATTTGGAATTACTCGAAGACTAAGAAATTTCAGCGAAGTCAATGCGTAGACTAACAAGTCTCTCGACCATCCCTGGGTTCAAATAAGAAGTCACTTTTGATGGTGACCAAATTAATCAAACCATTGGACTGGTAATATAATGTCATGAAAATTTTAATTATAATTATAGTGGAAACTCTCAACGAGACTATAGTTTAATAGCTACCTAACAAGGTTTTGGTGGTTTAGTAATTGATTAGTGTGTGTGCATTGACTCCTTTGAAGTTTCTAAGTCTTTGGGTATCTCATATTTGTTGGTGAACGTACAATGATCACAAATATATGGCTAAGGATTTTTTAAAAAAAAAATAGATTATAAATTGAAAGTGAAAGAATCGAATCTAATACAAGAAGTTAGAGATGTACTTATCAAAGTGATAAAACTAGTATTTTGAGAGATCATATGTATATAGTTAAGAAACTAAATATAAATTGAATATGATTTTATAAATTTTTTATCATATATAATATAAAATTTCAATTTCGATTGCCTGAAATAATGAATATGATGCATCAAAATAAACTTAATTATATATTTTTTGAACAAAATTAAATTTATTAGCACAATTGTAATTTTTTGATAATATGGATACTCATGTCTTTAACTTATGGCAATTGGACATTCAAATGAAATAATGTTGTTATAAATGGTTTCTTGTAGTTTTTATGTGACACTAAATCAAGACAGAATGGCTAATTAATTGCGCATTAGCAAATGTCTTTTTCATGACCATAAATCTCAAGGTCAACAAAACTCATAGACGCAAAAGTAGTATTCGATAATAAAAAGCGACTGAAATGGAAGGAAAACGAAAGGTCAAGTCATAAATAATAAATTGTACCTACTCTTCTTTTGTTTGTGACCGACAATTTTCCCTACTTTTTATCAAATTAAGTATTTAAATATAAAAAGAATGTACTTAAAGCAAATTTCTTTTGGGAGGGAGGGCCAAGGGAAATGGAGAAAATAAAAAGGAGAAGAAAAAGATGAGTTTTTAATAAAAATTAAGATTCCCTTCCTTTCCAAAATGCATGCCTCCAATTGCCCAGGTTTTTCTAAATCTGCTTTTATTGGTAATTCCTTTAATTCGTTGGAAAAAAAATGAAGTTTGGTAATGTTGGGGGCCAAAAGTTTGAGTTTGATGTTCACACAACAACTAATTTTTTGCCTTAGAAAGTTGTTAATTGTGAAATGGGTTAATGTTTTAGTGGACTCATTCAACAAATTACTGATGATTTTAATCAAATCATATAAACTTTTTAGGCTAATTCCATTTAATTATTCAAGTTGAATAGCCATGTACATCCTTATAACAAGTTGCAGTCTGATAGGAGCGGAGGGAATTTTCCAGTGAAGGGATGAACCGCGTAGAGAAAGGTGAAAGGACTTTGCCAGGTGACAATGACTCCGGAGAAAAGAAAGTTTAGGGAGGCGAATGGGATTAGAAAAAAATGCCATGTACTTTTATTGGTATGATTTAATTATCCCATTTCATATATAAAAGTGATATGATTAATTTAAATTAAT